GAGAGTCTTGAGGAGCTCGGGTGGCCTCCTGGCCCCTAAGGTGTGTAAGGCCGCTGTGCCAAACCAGCAGCGGCTCCTTGGGAGACAGGTGGGGCTTTCTCTGCCTTAAACAACGAGCCTCAGAACCTCACCGGGGCAGCTCTCCACCAGGATGGAGGATTTGTCATGAGTTTGCATCGACCGGATGGCAGTGAGTCAAGCCCCCGGCAGTGGGCTTGTCTGACTTTTTTCCTCACGGTTATGGGTTTGGGAAGGAAAAGCAGAGGTGAAGTGCCTTATTATATGGCACCAAAATACAATTCTAATCAGGATGACTAATCTGTCATAAGTTGGTTAGTTTTTTTTTTGTTGTTTTGAATGTATACTCTTTTCTTTTATGTGTAAGAAAGCTTTATATCAAGAAATATTTATATATTAAAACAATCCCAGCCCAATCCAGCCAAAGCTCATCAGTCTGATGGTAGTCCACAAGTCCCCCTTCAGGGTCCTGTAGCCACACGTAATGATGCAGAAAGCAGGGAGATCACAGGCGGGTGGGTACAAAGTCATGTAGATCCAATGGCGCTCTAAGCATCACAGAGCTCTGGCAGGTCCCAGAGTGGCCCCCAGCAGGAAGGTGAAGGTAGACAGTGTATGCACACATTCTTGTTCATCTCATCCTTACTGTATATTCCTCTCAGGGTCTACTGTATTCAAAAGTAACTTGAATTTATTCCTTTTTTCTATTGTTTGTGGTTTTTGTAAGCTGGCTATGTAGTTAAGTTGATTTGTTTCTGTTTTTATTTAATTTTCTAGTTTTCATATATCCCTTTGCTTCTTTCAATTTTATTTTTAAAATGGTTAACGAATTGGTAAGCCCCACTCTTCAGAAAGCCATACTCCTTAATCTCATTCCCAGTCCTCGCCCTTTTGTCCTTCGTGCAGGTTTTTCAGTAGTTGTTTCCTTAGTGTTCATTGGTTAGCTACTTTATATAAAAATAAACAAAAGATAGGTATACCACTTATGCTTCTGTACTTCTTATCCGTCTGAACGCTTCTTTTTTCATTTAACAATAAGCTTTTCTGTGTGTCATTGAGTACATGTCAGTTTATAGAGCTCTACAGCATTTGATTCTGTGACTTCAGGCTACCATAACGTATGGATATACCTTTACTTATTTAGTCAGGTCAGCAGGTTACACGCCATCAACCCAATATTGTGACAAGTGCTTGGTTGTCCACAGTAGATTATAGCTATACCATAGAGTTGATCACATTGTTAGATCGCGTCATGGGGGATTGTTAGACCTCAATTTCCTAACACTGAGAATCCTGGCTCAGCCAAGCGGATATAAACCTAATGATCATACGCACTATTATTAACTTTAATATAATTTATACATTTTAGTTTATTACACCCACTCCTCACTTAGGCTCCTAGTTAGGTTCCAAAAAACAGACCAGCAAGTGAAAATCATCTTGATATAAAAATGGAAGATAACTACATTAGTTCACAAATAGAGGGTAATTGCATCATTATACAACCACCAAATTGCATCTTAGCATGACTACCAAACCACTGAAATTCATGGCCCACCCTAGTTGGCACATAATTTAACCATTACAACCAGCATTCTTCTCTTTGGCATATGTTGCTGCCATGATGTGTTGTCAATGCACAAACCAGGTTGTTTTCTTTCACTTTTGTTGTAAATACAAAATGTCAGATAACAAGATAGCTGGTAAGGGAGGAATTGGTGTGCAGACATTTCAATAACCAGTTGTTTAAATTAGAAAGATGACAGTCTGATGAAGATGGAAATGACAGACTGCAAGAGGACTACAAAATGTTCAAAATGTGTACAGAAAAATTGTATTTCAGTTGTATTTTTTCATGAACTATCTGAAGTCCCCTCATATTTCAGTTAAGCCCAGTGCCATTGAGCCAGTGCTGCGTCACCGTGAACCTTGAGCTTCAGGTTCATGCCGAGCCCTTAACCACTGCGTCGCCAAGCGCTTTGACAAACTATTAGCAACACCAAAACTTTTAAGCCCAACAAATCCAACCAACTTTGAATCTGCCATTATATGAAATGCTTCCTTTCTTCTGGTTAGATGTAAACATGACTGGGGATGGAGGTAATCATCTCCGTAGCGCCCTCTGCCCCATTCCAAGTGTCCTATTCTTCATCCCAAAACGGGTTTGCTTGTTAGTCCTGCTTAGGGTTCATCCATTCTTCCAGGTGGGAACGCCTAGAGCCCCACAGCTTGCCCGTCTACATTTTGTTCGTTATTTTAAGACCAAAGAGGAATTCCACTTTCCCCCCAAAGCCTTTCCTTGAGACCCTCACCTGTGGTTCCTTTGGAAATGGATCCAGTAAACCCCTGAGTCCTCAAAAGCGGCTGTCTATATGAGGCGCAGGTCTAGTTTTTCATCAGAAGACAAGCAAAGCTACGTCCAGCACTCAGTTATATCTGCATTTGTAAATGTTTAATAGTTTTAACAGTGGACTGACTGTAGGGATGAAAAATTGGGCTGCAAAAGATAACTTATTAGATTTAATTCATTTCTCTGAAGTACATTTAGAAATTTAGTAAGTTCCAATGGTAATGTTATTAAATGGTTTTGTTGAAAAAAAATCTAAATAATGAAAATAGATTTTCATTTCTTCTTAACCTTTTTCCTCATTTTACAGACCAGGAAAGAACAGAGACTAGTTCAATGAACACCCATGGACCTACACTTGATCTTTAGTAAACCTTACCATGTTTTTTCTGACCTTCCTAAAAACAAATTGATCATTACAAGTAAAGGTGAGGTTTCTGATGTACTCCTTCCAAATTCTGCCTCTCCCATTTCACCGTGGTGATCACTCTTTCCTTCATAGTATTTTAAGTACTTTTAGAGATACCCTTAAAAAACACACCCAAAATTAAACTAAATTCACTGCCTTCCTGTTGATGACGACTCAGATTGACCCTGTAGGACCGGGTAGAGCTGCGGCTGTGATTTCTCAAGACTAGCTTGTACGGGAGTAGATAGTCCTGTCTTTCTCCCTCTGACCAGCTGGTGGTTTTGAACTAGGAACCTTGGGAATTGAAGCCCTTATCGATGCTCGGGAGCCCACTGGTGAAGATGTAAAAATAACGTACGGTCTGGGCTGCTGCTCTGTTTTGAGGGTGGTTGGTGTGTGTGCAGTTTTTCCTAGGCAAGTGGAGCCAGACTGGTAGGAGCAGAGCTGCAAAGGAGCAGAGGGCAAAGGAGCTCTGCTGGCTGTGGCAGCCACCTGTAAGCTATTTGGACGATTGTCTGCATCCCACTCTTGCTGGCTCTCTGCTGGTGGAGGCTGCACTTCCTCTAGTGCTCCGAGCTCTGTGTCCGTCTGTATCCCCTCAGTTCCATTCATCCCTTTGCCACCGATTCAGCAAACTGTCAGCCTTTTGGTTAGTAGCTGAGCCCTTAACCACTGTATGGCCTCGGTCGGTCGGTCAGTCTGCCGTGTTGAGTTTGTCTATTGTTGTGGCAATGTTAGCGTTTTCTGAACTGCCTTCCAGTTCACCTTGACTGGTCAAGGTGAACAGAGAATGCGTTTTTGTGAATGTTCTGGTGATAAAGCTGCATAGATTTTGAATGGTCTGTCCAATTCTATTTCTCCTACCAGCCCTGTTAATACTAGTGTGCAGTTTTGTAGAACATACGTTCTTTGGGGAGTATACAGCATAATGTGAAAGGAGAAATTCCTGAGGCTGAAATAGGTTATTCTGTATCACATGACACTATGACTCATATATAATGGCTAAACATTTGAAAGACAATAGAAAAAGTCTCTTGTAGCTTGATCTCTTGTTAAGTAGGCATCTATTAGGCTCTACTTACTGAGGCTTTAAAAAGGTGATTTGTGTAAGTGCTTTAGCCATGTATTGTAGCGGTTCACAAAATGGGCACTACCAGCACCAGGTGGGCAGTGGAATGATCCAGGGGGGCTGCAAGAGCAGATACTTATACTTTATCCTGGATTATGGGCTATAGGACAAAAGTGTTAATTTCTCAGGGAGGTGCTGAGCCAGTCCTCTGTTTTTCTTGACATGGGGTGGTCGGCCAAATACTTTGGGAACCTACGATGTATTCTGTCTGGAGCAAAGGATTTTTAGTAGGAGGAAACACTATGAATTAGAGCAAGTAAAAATAGAATTTCAATTTTAAATTTCAAATGATCACGCAAATCGATTTAAAATTGAAATTCATTTATTTTTATTCACTGCATTAAAAAGTGTAAAATACAGTTTGGAAAAATATATTGTTTGATTGAATTACTTCCCTCTATCGTTCTATTTCTTGCAGTTTGGTGTTTGGAAGTCAATTGGATATCCACTCAGGTGGGATCGATTTAGCTTTTCCGCATCATGAAAATGAAATAGCACAGTGTGAGGTCTTCCATCGGTGCAAACAATGGGGAAATTATTTCCTGCATTCTGGTAAGTAAACGACTTCAATTGCGTCTGTTCTCTGTGGACTCTGGCTCTATTGGTAAAACAACTACATTAGAAAACACATAGGTAAACTAACAAGAAAAGGAGTTGTCACTGAAATATTTTTGAGTTTTGGTCAGGTTGACAAGAATAGTTCCTGAGATTGGAATAATGAATATGTATATTTAGAACTGAAATAGTAACTGGTTTAGAATATAGGAAATGCTTTACAGTGCTGTTCTATCTAAATCGAAGAAAAGCCGTTAAGGAATTTAGAATAGAATGATATATCATCATCATAATTACAGATATGCTATAATATTGTCCTAATACATATCCTCTAATACCACTACTTTTATTTTATTATTCAAAAAAAACCATAACATCCGTTCTCAAAGCAGATACAGCATTATGAAAGAGTGATATCTTTAGCATGACAATGTTGGGATTTACTTTGATTCACAGGAAAATTTGTTATGTGTAAAGTTTGGTAAAGGCCAT